CTCACATAATCCTCTTGCTGCAGCCAGGTTTCTGTAAGGCAAAACAAGTCAATGTGATTATCACAAATCAGGTCATTAACTAGTAGACTTTTAGAGGAAAGCGATCTTATGTTAAACAGACCGCATTTAATTGTTTTAACTTTTTCCCCAATTGGAGTTATTTTGATTTTAATTAGATTATCATGATTTACTCCTTTGGGAATCTTTGCTAATTTATTAGATTTTGGTCGTGGGCAAGACACTGTCTGGATGGAGTAAAGAGTGGGTAACAGTAGAGAAGCTGCAGAGATGTGTGTTAAACTACAACTCTGCTTCCAAAGTGGCTTATGATAACAGAAGTGTTTTATCATAGGTATGTTTATATGGGAGAATTTCTATATCAATCAATTTAATTCCAAGCCAATTTCCATATTTTGCCTCTTTATCACTGTCAAATATAGTAAATATCTTATCTTATAGTGATATAGAACATCTTGTTGGTGTAAGTGTTACTTCAGTGCTGGACTACTGTAACTTTGTATAATCTAGAAGTCCAAAACTATTCTTAAAATGTTCAGCTTATTGAAAATTAAGTTAAAGGTTCTAGTTCCATGCCTTCATTGGCTCCCTATTCAAGCCAAACTGTGATTTTTATGCCTTCTCAGATACATAGAAAACCCTTATACTCCAGCATAATCAGAAGTCTGATTGTTCAACATGTTTCCTAGATAGAATGTAGAATTTCAAAAAACTGAACTGGGGGCATGTTTTGTATTTATCTGAGTTCCCTCCTGTGGAACGTGTCGTAATTTTTACCCATGGGGAATATATACCGTTTACTTTGACGGTTTACTGCCAAGTAATTGACAGAACAACAGATCCATCCATCTACTGTAGTTACATAATAATTCTGAATAATTCATTATTCCAAAAATATCTATGTTGAAATAGCACCAAACGTTTGAAATTATGTGAATGATTGGCTTAATCAGAATGATTCACAAGGACCCTTCCCCCATAACTGTTAAGAGCGAGTAACCCTGGAAGTTTATAATAGCTTTTAAAAGTGAGGCAAATGGTAAGTATGACAAAGTAACAAGAGCAAAAAATGTGCATGAGCATTTCCATTAATACTGTAGGAATTTTACAGTATTTCAACCAGGAGAGACTCACACAGAGAAAAGTTGTAACTAGAAAATATTACCGTAAATGTATTTATACAGGTAACACAATCATATTATTCAACATATTTCTATCTAAGGAGAACCGGCTGATTGCGAGGACTCATTGGCTGTCTGCAATCCCTCGCACTGAGCATGCATGTAGCAACAGTGGAAAGGAAAATTCCCTTTTAACAGGAAGAAACCTCCAGCAGAATCAGGCTCAGTGTGAGCGGCCATCTGCCGAGGCCGACTCGGGTTCAAGCTGATAAAGTAGTACAGTGGTGGTGGAATAAGCCAGAGAATGAATGGGACTGAGAATGAGGGAGGTGATGGGGTGGAGGTGGGTGAAAGTTTGCCTGCCTGTGGGAGAGAGAAGCTGGGCCAGGAAATAAATGAAGGGGATCTTGCAAGATGGCTGGCTTCGGAGAAGGTGAGGCCCCTGAGCTGAATGGCTGAAGATGAACGATGGACATTGCAGATGGTTCAGGTTAAGCTGATAAGACTCTTCCAGATTGAATTTTATGCTAAAGCTTCATTTTCCTATTGATAAACATTCCCATTGCCACTTAAAGCACCCAGGTTTCCTCATTGTGGGACATTATAGTATTATTCTATTCTATTCAAAGTTATAGCATTCAGACAATGTCAAGTTCATGGTCTGGCAGCATTTATCTTCAAGGAGTCTATATCTTAGCAGTAAAATGACCCAGGAAGTTGCCTGACAACATTTTTTTTCTATATTAATTCATTTTGATTGATGACTGAGTCCCCAAATAACCTCAATATTGAGGCGTAATCATACACATATAGATGAAGTTATATCTATTATATCTACGTATATATCTATTTTTACCGGAAGTTGGAAAAAAAACACCTAAAAACAACACCTATAAACCACGTATCCATATCAGAAAAAATGTCTGGAAAACATTTTTTCTGTCATGTTCCTCTTATGGTATATAAAAAATCTTATGTTGTAATAGGGGCCTATTAATGCACAACTTTCATTATGCTACCATTCTTCTGACACTACTTTGTTCTCGTAATATTTCAATCTCCTTACTGAGGAAACAGTCCTTAGTCCCTCCGGTATCTTTACTGACTTCCCTTAAGTCCGCGGTTCTCAAAGTGTGTGGCGCGACCCACTGGTGGGGAATTGAGACGTGACAGGTGGGGCGCGCCAAGTTCCGGTGTGTGTGTGTGTGTGTGTGTGACTATAAATGTAGAATGTGTGAGAGCAAACTGTCCTTATAGCTGTATGTTGCCGCTTTTTAGACCAATCAAACCCACAAAGTAATCATTACTAGCCTACATGCAGTCTAATTAAAAGAACATTAGATATGAGAAAAATTTCACCTGGAACTGAAGTGCCAAAATAATGATTGACGTGACGTCGGCATATTATTTGTAACAGAATAAACTTTCGCGCCCCAGTGTTGCCAACTCAGCGACTTTGTCGCTATATTTCAGACCCCTCCAGCGACTCTTTTTCAAAAAAACTAATCTAGCGCCTTTTGGAGACTCTTACGTGAAAGCACGTATCGTTCCTTTTCTTGTCCTCCAGCGGCAGGTGCTGCCGTGGGGCGCCTCCCCCGTCCCAACCCCGTTCTCCCCCGCTATTGCAGGAGTCCCTATCAGCGCTGCAGTCAGAGCAGAGACACAGCATGTTTAACTTTTGCGTCCAGACTGCAAATAAAGCGCACATGCGCCGGGATTGACGGCGCAGGTTGATCATAAATAACTGAATTTGAAATATTTTATCTTAAATAAATAACGGCGTTTGATTCACACAGCCACATGTTCATGTTTCTGGTTAGGAGTGGAGAGCGAGTATCCACTCATCGGGCAGAGAGCTGTGTGCATTCTTCTTCCCTTTGCCACATCATATCTCTGTGAGATGGGCTTTTCAGCTGCTGCTTCAATGAAAACAAAATACAGATCTCAGCAGAACATTGAGCATGACTTGAGAGTGGCAGTATCAAGCCTGCAACCCCGTTTTGAGAAACTGCAATGCAAAACAGGCTCATTGCAGCCACTAATGCAGGGATAAATAGACCTGTCTTGCCAGATGGATTTCACTTCTTTTCTTTTATTAACAGATTGCAGAGTGGCACTTTAATTTTTTCTATCTTTGAGCTTGATACAAATTTTGACACAGCTGCATTTTTATTTTCTTTATTTTTGAGCTTGCTGTTATTTGATGTAGATTTGTATTTAGATACTACTTGTTACTTCAATAAAATTGGAACATTTTAAGATTGTTGAATATTTCATTAGCATTGTGTTGGGGCGATGGGGACAGGCGGGGCTTGAAAATTCCCCCTTGTCCAAAGTGGGGAATGACAGAAAAAGTTTGAGAACCACTGCCTTAAGTAAACAAAATGTATATCTCCATTGGTTAATGAGTTAATCTAGTGATGCAGAGCTATGTATATGGGGCATTTAATTTAGCACTCATTATTGTCACAGTTGTTTAATGAAAATGTGACTTTTATTTTTCTATATGTTTATGTATGTTTAAGTTGTTCCCCTCATTCACAACTATAATAATCAGTAATGAAACAAGAGAGAAAGAAACAAACAAATAATATGTACTTGGACCTCAGGGTGCAATTAAATACATCTTTTTTTTTAATTTTTAATTCATTTTGTGCTCAACATATTAAAGTGAAGGGAACAATTATTTCTATAAATACCAATCTTAAAACTATGGCATCTGTATTTCTTCAGACTCCTTCACTTTCATGCCTCAAAGTTGCAAGTCTACTGCAACTAAGAAAGCTGAACTTGTAACAGCTGTTTAGTGAATAACAATATCTATATCAAATTTTCTATAATTAGGCATCTTTACAGTTTAGTTACTATTTACATTAGTAACAGTTTCCCAACATAGATAGATACACCCGATTTTTCTGCGCATTTTATTTTTGCTTTTTTTAGGGGGATGGCAAGGGTTTACTATATTTTATGTGTTTCAGAGGGAGTAGTGTTCCTATGTGGTTCCAGGGGGATAGTGTTCGGAATAGTCATTTAGTCCCCTTGGGCGGCTTGTATGGAGTTTCTTGATCTAGTTCTATTTATAAATCCATCTTTCTTGGTTGTTATGTGTGAAACTAGTGTTGCAGGCCATCAGACTCTGGTGAAAAGTGAATGAGTGGTGTGTCCGGTTTCCGATCACTCAACCTTTGTTGTTGAAATGGGGCGTAACTAGGTTGTAGAGTCTGGATGTTTTAAATTGCATACTGTTTAAGTCACTGTTTATTATTCCTAAAAGGTAAATCTGGAAGAATTAAACTGGAGCATCTCTCTTTAAAGTAAATGAGGATGGTTGGTGGAAGAGGTTTGCAATCCGCTGCCAAAAAGGTTTGATCTTATCCTATCCTGTTTTAAAATTTAATTCCTCTTTAATAAAATATTTTTGAACAGAATTTGTGTTGAATTTCAAACCAACTAATTACTACATAATTCATTTATATTTTGGCTTGCTCCCTTTTCAATATTTTAACTTCTCTCATGAGGTCCAAAATGAAATAAACATTTCTGTTGCTGTGAAATTGAGGATATCCTAACATTTTTTTTTATCTGATCAAATCTTTCCTCTGCCTTGGGCCTGCCTGCTTCACATTTGCTTCAGCAGTTTCTTTTTTTTAATGCAGGATTTTAAATTTCTGTTTTCTTTTGAAAGGAGAATGCATGGGCATTTTTTTATTACCAGACTAAGGGAGAAAAATACGCAGATAAATGCACCTAAATGGGTATTTTACATACTTTCTGACTTAGCTGTTAGCTTTCTTGTAGTAATTTCACCTCTCAACTTTTGCTTAGCCATTTCGTGTGCTTTCATCTCTTTTTGCAGATTTAAAATGAATGAAGGACAAGTAAACAACTCCACTCATCTGTACGACAACTGGACATTTTATAACTCTTCCGTGGAGTACATCACACCCAGGAAGAACATCACATATGTTGGCTATTACCTACACCAGCCGTCCACTGCAGCCATCTTCATCGTGTCCTACCTGCTTATCTTTGTGGTGTGCATGGTGGGAAATGGTGTGGTGTGCTTCATCGTGCTGAAAAGCAGAAATATGAGGACAGTGACAAACCTGTTCATCCTGAACCTCGCTGTGAGTGACCTGCTGGTGGGAATTTTCTGCATGCCCACAACTCTTCTTGACAACATAATTACAGGTAAGCAAAGTGTTAAATACAGTCGATGCTATCAAATAGTTTAGCTAATTAGGTAGTATGTCACCTTTTTTAAATCAAGATGGTTGCATAAGTATATCATCTCAACCTGGGGGGTGGTAGAACTCATGGTAGGGCTTGTTTGTGTCAAAGAAACTCTCAACATTGTGATGAGATATTTTGCTGGAGCTAGACCTCCCAGAATAGGGTTCTTGCTGTTTTGTAATATAGCCAGAGCTTCTAAGTTTAACTATAACTCTTCTCTTATACTGTATTATTAGGAGGATCTCCACCACATTTCGTGCTAGGTGAATAAAACTGCTTACCCATGAATTATGATAATCCCATTCTGGATTTTCATTCGGATTTTACCACTACCTTTATCCTGGTTAGACATGGACCAGACTTTTCTCTCAGTTCTAATAATGACCAAGGCAGGTTGATGGCCCTGGACAGCCAGGAAAACTCTGCCTGTGAAAGGAGTTGTTCAGTCACAGTGCCTCCTAAACTCAAATAACCATTTTTTTCAAGGACTCTGCATCAAACTGACCATATCAATGCATTTTTTTTATTTTTATCTTTTTTGGCACCATGTTTCTCCCCCCCCCAATGTTTACATTTGATCACTGCTGCAGGAAATGTCATGAAAGCTGTAAAAAACAAAAGTTTTGTATATACTCTGTGTATACAAAACGGCATTAAAGTTTGTCTTAGTCTAAGTCTTTTTTAAGTCTTGTTTTTTTTTTGACTTTTTTTTTCAAACTTCCTGGTTGCTTGTAGGTAGAACTTGGCCAAAACGCTAAATGAAACTTAAATTTGCAATCTGTTCTATTAAACCGCACAATATAAGGATCACAGGTTTGTGGGTATGCATTTTTCCACAAAACATCTAGTGCAGATGCCAGGCAAGCTAGATGAGCAACAGAGCAAATAGAGCAGGAATAAAAGATTTGATCTGACTTTGGAACACAAAATATAAATCAATAATCAGCACTGTGTGGATGGGAGGGGGGTATAAATGGGTGATATAGCTTTTATCATTAACTCCTCCTGCCTCCGTGAACTATGAAAAACTGACATATTTAAACAGAAGAATCCCAATTTTCCCAATTTAGACTTCCTCACAACATAAAGCTTTTAACTGGAATATGTACAGTAAAAATATGTATGTGAAAGAACTGGGTGGGTGGGATGTCATGTAGGTCGCGAGGTCAGTAAGTCAGTAAGTAGATGCTCATTGCTCTGAAGCATTGTCAGCAGGCATTTACATAAAGGAAATACATAGACAAAAATGACATTAATACAAGTTATTAACAACAAGGATGGATTAGCTCAGTCATTTATGGTACCTTTTTACTACCTTTACAGTTAATGATGAAATCGATTGTGGGATGAAAAACATTTGGCCTTCATTCTTAAGAATAAATTTAGGGAATACCTTCCCCCTATAGAAAGCAGATCTTAGAGGGACTATATTGTTTTATAAGCTTGTATGCTTTTCTTTCACTATCCGTATATTTTCTCCATGCTTGCCAGAGGATTTCTTCTAAGCCTCTGCAGCACAGCCAGCAGCTGTTACAAAATACAGAATACTCTCAATAAAAGCAGAAGAGAACATTAAAACTATTGGTCAGTTAAAATTTTTATTGACGCCAAATGACCATAGTTTCTTTTAAAAGCAGAGTCTCTGCTTAGCTTTGGTGCTACTAAGGTCAGTCCATGAGTTGCACTTACGTGGCAGTCCCTAACCATGCCTAGGTTCCTGTAGCATGAGACGGTCTTAATCTGTTCTTTATCAGTGATGGTTGGGTAGAAGAACTGAAGCTTCCTGAATGCAATAGATGTTGAGAAATGTTTGCAAATGTTTGGTTATAAACATTTGTTTTTGATTTGGGGAAGTGAGTTTGTTTGGGAGCCTGAAATGTTCCTAGAATCAGAGTATTTTAACTTCTAAAAATACTGTTAAAGTTAAAAAAATAAATGAATTAATGGAAGAATTACCATCCCCAAGTGAAGCTGCCCCACCCACATTGTTCAAATAAAACAAAATTCATGTCAGGCAATTCAACTAATTTTGTGCTTTAATGTGCAGCTGGTATGAACCAATTCAAATTGCTGTCACTTTTTTCAGCTACATTTCTGCGGCTTTGTGCACCAAGCATATTTTATTTTTGCTGCTTTTGTTTTAAAACTGCTGACAAAATGTTTTGATCTTCAACTTTTCTTTAGCAACTTAAAACAATGCAGCACAAACAAACATTTGATACACAAACCATCACAACTAAGCAGAACTGATTGACACCAATTTTGTTTAATTTGAAGAAGGTGGGGGTGCGCACTGATCTTTAATGCACTCCAGAAGTTTTTATTACTTTATTCAGTTGCCAACCATGCCTTGACAAACAGAATCATTCCGTATTTAGAAACAGAAGCACCTGTCCCGTATTTAGTGGAAAAGGAACGCACTTTGTCCGGTATTACTGAGAGTAAAAAAATAGTCAGTAAAAGCTAATGGAAAATGAACACGTTACATACAAAACTTGCAGTAAACTTGTTCCCGGGCCCTGTCCTGCGTTGTGACCAATGAGCTGACAACATATATGCAATGATCCAGAATACCCTCATCCCATTGGTCAAGCCAAGTGTTGCTCACGGAGAAGATAGCGGGAGAGAACAGAGCAGTATGGGTGACAAACAGAGTAATTTAAATGCTGATGCTGTTTTTAGGGGAGGTGCACCTTCACATAGCGATGCTCCCCCTCCAAAAAACAAAAAAGGATGCAGAAATATAGGGAGGAATGAGAAAAAAGAAATACCTCAGTGGAAAAAAGGCTGCAATAATGAATATAAAGCACACAGCAAACATGCATCTAATTAAATGCAGATTTGAGTCAAATAGTTAAAAAAATAATTTCACACACAAAGGGGGGCTAAGAAAAAATCACCACGCCAGGAGGGGTATAGGCAATCGGGTCAGCTGGCACGCACATGAGACGTCACTTTTTTTTTTCAGGGACTTGGCAACGCTAACTGGCACTGATCTAGCACAAACATTTGACACTATTTTTTGCTTGATTTGAAGAGGGTATAGGGACAACTTCACTCAGCTCAGTAACCCTACCCAAAGAAGTAATTTTCTTTTAAAAACGTATTCAAGTAAATGGAACTGGTTAAATGTAAATTGCTACTACTCACCTCTCATGCCTATAAAAGAAAACCAAAACACAAACACCCATGGATGATTAAAATATTATGCGCTCAATATCTGGTCAGGACTCCTTTTGCATGAATGAAGACATCAATGCAATGTGGCATGAAGTTGAATAGCTTGTGGCTCTATTGTGTCAGTATTAGAGAAGTTGCCTATACGGCAACCTTTTAGGAACTAAGTCTCACTATAAACCATAGATTGAAGCAGTTCAGATAAAAAATGAATCCCTTGCAGGCACACTGATTGCAGATGTAGCATCCCGAATTTAAATGAGCACAACTGGCAAAATAAGATAAAAAGTTGGGAAATCACAACAGAAGGAGCAGAAAATAGATTAGAAACACATTTAAAAGAGAACATAGTTGATTAAAATCGCTGGGAGGAGAACTTGAAAGTGGAGTTTTACCTGCCTATTGGAAATTACAGTGTGATGAGGTATTTAACAAGTTTAGAATTAGGCCATTTCTAGAAAAAGGACACAACCTAAAGATGTCTGTCTAAATAAAGCAGGATGCTGTAAGGTGTGCAAAAGAGTAATTCAATTCTTTTAAGCGTTTTTTTAGCCTCTATTATTGATATTTCTCTTGTAGTTGCTAGTTCCATGGGTCTGTTTCAGATGGAGAAAACTTTTCAGCTTTAAATACCGTATTTTCACGACTATAAGGCGCACTTAAACGTCTTTTTTTTTCCTCAAAATGTGCGGTGCGCCCTATGGTGCGGTGTGTGTGTTGTAACTGCGACTTTTGAGACCACCTCATTGAGGAGATGATGAAAGAGTGGCTGAATGTAAGGAGACCAGGTGTTTTTTTTCCACCCCTCACCATCGCTGTTAATATGTAACTCCATGCGTGCCCATCTCACAGCTGATGTGAAAAACATGGGGAAACAAATTAACGCTGCTCGACATCGGTGTGAACCGGACCCAGCAGGTGCAGCAGAAGCAGCGTGTTTACATGCAAAGTCAATGGTTGACGCGCATATAGGTGCAGCAAAAGGTCCCGCAGCGCATTTTGGTGCAGCACGTCGGGAGCGTTTAAGCATCTGAAGCACCACCAACGCGCTTCTGCTGCTGGAGATGGAAAAATTGAAGTTTTGCTGCTGGACGCGCCGCATCAACCAATCAGAGAAGCTGATCTGGGAGCTGCCAGCGAGACAGACAGCGCTCTGATGACATATGATATTAACGCAAATGGAAAAGGCTGGATGGATGCGTGGCTGAGGCAGGTGTATGTGAGAAGACTAGGTGGTTTTTTCCACGCATCACCATCGCTGCGTGCCCATCTCACAGCCGATGTGAAAAAAAGGTGAATCAAATGAACGCTGTGCTCGCCGTTATCCCGGGGGTCTGACAAAGGAGCTTCCACCGCTCGACATCGGTGTGAAGCAGCCGTTCGAAGTAAGGCTGTGAGCGGCGTGGGAGCGATGGATGACAGACTGAGACCACAGTTTCAGGATAAGAAGGCAGCGCCGGGCAGATTACGCCACAGTTTGCGGATGGATTGTAGATGCTTGGACTAAAGTGTCTGCTGGCTCTGTTGTTCAAGCTTTCGCAAAAGCCGGCATTATTTCTGAGGAGCTGTGCTGCACGGAAAGTGACTGACAGCGAAGAAGGGGAAACTGGCATGTCTGATTTAGCGCAGCTGTTTTATTCAGAAACAGAGGATGAGGACTTTGAGGGGTTTGATTAATACTTTGTAATAAATACATGAATAAAGCACAAACATACTCAGTTTTGCTCCCGCTCTATTTTTCTCCCTGAAAACTTAATTCAACAGCATCCCCGGCGCGTCTC